CCCCCCCCCCCCCCCCCCCTCCCAATCGATAGGACGCGATATTTTTCCTTGACTGGCTTGCTTTTTCATTGGATTTTATCGTGTTTTCTTCAGTTTCTTTTTAGTTTTCATGTTTATTAGACTTGATTAATTAAAATGACTCCTCCTATATAAACGACGATCAAGACCGCATTGGAATTGAAAAGAGCGGCTAGCCAATTCAAATAATTAAAGGACTCCCTGCCTCACAAATTGCGCGCTCCGATCTTCCATCGCAGCCCTGCGATAGGCGGCGGGTGCGGCGTGTGCGACGCCGTGTTAGGGGAGAAGTTCCCGGACCCCACTTTCACTGGTGTTTTCAGAGTTCGGCGCTGAGCGCTGAGCGTGTGGACCCCGTCGACAACGCTGGACACGCCACGTTAACGTTTAGACAGCCACTGACAGCCACTGCGTTGGAGCACATTATGCTGAATGTTGAAGCATGGTGTGCTTGGGAAATAAATAACTCAACGTAAGCGGCACGCGGACACTAACGGGCCTGTTCTGCGTTGTCAATAAGTGGTCTGCAACGTTAGGCGCTCAGCGCTGTACTATGAAAGCGGCTCCTGCCCGAAGCCGACCTATGCTTTAAGACGTCCCCGAAAAACATTCTTGAATGAGAGTCATCCAGATGGCTATGGATAATTGGGGATCATGCTTACATACACTTTGTCCCCTCCCCCAGTTGTACGTTACCCTTCCTTACTCAGTAGTTCGTTGATTCACTCGTTATTTTGAGACTGGAATAACCCTATGCTCTAATTGTGTGCGCCCCAGCTACTGGAGCAGAGCGCAAGATTTGAGGTACAGTTATTCGAACATTATTGCGACAATTCGGTGTCGAGGGCGCTTCGTTGGGCGCGTCCGTCAAAACTAGGTCGCGCCGCAGCCGTCGCTCGCGGCGCGCGTGCCCGCGATTTTTGACGGACGTCGCAGTTGTCAGATTGGCATAGCGCTTGGTCCACGGCACTCAGCCTAAGAAGAAAATAACACAGACTACTGCAAACCTAGCTTCGACGGACGCGTGCAATGGATATTCTCCTTCGAGGTCTCTCTTTTGAGTAAATAATAGAGGTTTCAGTGGGAGATTAGTGCATAGGTGACGAAGTAAACGAGAAAGCAGTGATTCTTTAGGTGTGATAGAAGTAGTCAAATTTGGAGGTGGTGCAAATTAGGAGATGATGATGATGAAAAGGATGTTAAACGAGATTTCGTTTGTGTGCGGCTGCGTAAAGAATTGACCAAAATATCCCTCCTTCCAGACTAGGTCAGTAGAATCGGCTAAATCTACTAAACTTCAAGTTTGTGCCCCACTTACACGCCAGAGTCGTTGAAACTCCGAATTTCTGTATGTACCCACACCCGTTGACAGGAATTGATGCAACCCGGAGTCATCAACTGCTCAATTTTTTAACATATGTGCTATCTAGGCCGTTTTCAGCTCGACCCATGTGACATTACTGAGGGCCAGAAACGCTCAAACGGGCATTTAGAAAACCGTGAAGAAGATACGCATTTTCGCAGGGATGTTGTCGAGTTCTGTTGAGGGGTCCCAAAACGACTCAAGATGTTCCTGCGCGTGCGGCACAATTTAAAAGACACTGAACCCAAATAAAGCTAGATGAAGGAGACAAATCAGCACATGGGAACGGACTGGGAGAAAGGGCTAGAAAAGGGAGAGACGAGTGTACTGACTCAAAACAAGAGCGACTTGTTGAAACGAAACGAAACTGGCGAAAATGAACGAAACGAAAACAATGTCAAACCGATTAATACATGATCAAGACATGTTAAAACGGGATAGGCGATGTTTAAACAGGATCTTCAACAAGTTACACGTGTAAAGCTGCGCCGCTAGCGGCAAGAATGAAAACCGCGAACGGTAACTCGGGATGTCGGTCCTGACTAGAACGCCTGATTGTGGAGCGGTGACCGATCCTTTTCGTGTCTTGATCCTCGCCGCAAGCTTTTTTTATTTCATTGCATATATGGTGGGTAAAAGACGTATGCTTCAAATAATGTTATCTCATGAAATGAAAGTTTTGTCCGTGAAATTCTACGTCCATTGTGCTCCATGTCGCCATGGAGTTACTGTAAGAGTCGGGTTACTTTCCTGATTTTTCGTTCTATAGCAAACCTAGTCTACCTCTATGTACTTGTAATTCTACTCAGGACTAGCCTTACAAAAATTTACAGGCATTAAGTGAATGGCTGATTAACAATTAGATCCAATTCAATACGTTGCTCACGTCTAACTGTATCAAATGGTTAATATTTATCTTTATTGACTATTTATTTGAAACCAAATTCAATAAAATCGTAGAAATACATTCGCATTAGAAGTCCCATAACGTAGTCATCCGATAAAACTCGTTTTTCGGCCACTTTACGGAAGGGATCCTTCACAGTCGAGTGTTTGGTTGTTCCTTCTGAAAGTCATTTTTTAAGCTTTGATATTTCTCTTTTTTTT